AAAGAGTAAGTGGTTTAAATCCACATCCTGACTCTTAGGGAGAGAAAGAAAGCATTTTGTGCGCTTCACATAGTCCGTGCCGATGCACAGATCTGTAACAAATGAGAGAAGCATGAAGTCAGGCTCCTGTGCTCGGGCAGAAAGCATGACCCTTCAAATCTGGCCAAAAATGTTTGCATGGCCAGATCCTGATACAATCAAAGCCAGCAGCAATATGGCCATGGCTTCTTTGGGATAAGGACTACAGTCTGGGTATCCTTTGGTGAGGCAGTAAAGCACTGAAAGAAAAGACAAAGAGTTCTGTTCTCAGCTGAGGCACAGGTGGCGGAGAACAGCCACAGCCAATCTTTTGGCTTTACCTCTGTCCTTCACTCTGAGGCTTTGAAAACACTCTTTTCAGGCCCTGTGCATGTCACCCATCTTCTGTGATAGTAAATTGCTTTGCTAGGGCCAAGTTCATTGTCAAGTTTACCTTTATGAGCAGTATATCCTCAATTTGTACATTTAATCCACCAGAGTGCGAGCTAAAAAGATGTATGAGCTCAAGCCAAACATCCTTTGGGTTTATTTCATGTGATCTAAAATATTCTGCAGGAGTGATGAGAATGGTAAAAAATCTACTTCTCTTTAGGACCTGCAGCTGGAAAGTGTTGAGCTGCACAGCACGAAAGACGAGGAGGTCCATTGTGGGTCTGTGCTAGCACTTAAATACTAGCATATCTAACCCTATTTTGAGCATGGTTTGACAGGAAAAAGGGATACAAAGGAAAAGTAGCCAATTTTTTTGATTTACAATGCCTGACACTTCTACAGTGGTGGTGTTATGGTAATCTGAGGACTTAGCCAGGATAACTTTCACTGCTCTATGACATTTGGAATAGAGAATATAAGACTGGATCTTTATGATGCTTTTTCTTCCATTTGCAGGTTCGAATACAAGGATTGACAGGAAATGTTCAGTTTGACCACTATGGTCGCAGAGTCAACTACACCATGGATGTCTTTGAGCTGAAAAACACAGGTCCCAGAAAGGTACGTGCTGACAATGTTTACTATCCTGATATCGTATAAATGAGTCATGTATGATGAAATGATTATGCAAACTTATATTAAACTGGACTCCATGTGGTTTAAAAAGATATAATTTATTGAATACATGGATAATATTTCTGGTGAAAGCAGATTTAAACTGCATTTTCTACTAGATGCTATTATTCAGTGCAACAAATTGGGGAACACAAAAATTAGTGTGCCTCTTGGAGTGGTGGGATGTCAGTCAAGCATACTAATGAAAACCAGCTGGGTGGCATGTTGCTAGGCTGCTGGGTGATGGAAAATGGTCAGAACTGTGAGTAGTAGATATTTCTTGTATCTTATCCAAAGATTTCTGTCTTGCAAATTACTGGCATTTTTAGGCAGGGTCATTTGTATGTTCTGTGTAAACGTGAATCATAGGCTGTAACTAACAGGGCTTTTAAGAGTGGGAAAGGAAAGGACAGGAGTGAGGAGGAGGAAGAGAGAATGCCCTGGATACTCATATTTTCTGAGATTAATTGCAATATCTGATCCTGTGTGCTTGATTGATTGCTTGTAAGCAACTTAGGCAAATGCACATTAATATGTGTCTAAGCAGATCCTCCGTGTCTGAATGCACGTAACTTATCACTCAGCCCAATCACTTTGAAAATATAAGCCTGGGTACTTTTTTAACCCTTTCTCTTCTGTGCTGAAATTTGTCCATTTTACATAGTATAAACCAAACAAAGTGCAGAAAATGTACTCAGGCTCAAAGATTTTCTTTCTTTTGGAGGCACTGTGGCCTTTTTTGTTTGTGAGGTCATGAGATCAAGAAAAAGTGAGAAGCTGATGGTGAATAGGAGAATCATGGACGCTTGAGTAGGGCCAAGGCAATCAGAATTGAATTAAATAGTCCTCTTCCGTCGGGCTAGGGGTGACAAGCCCAGGAAATAGTACCCCAGGTGAACTGTCTGTCTCTAAAGACAGTTACGTGCCGCAGTGATGAGGAGGCACAGTGCTGAACTGCATATCCAGAGCAGAATTACGTGACAGGATGAACTGGCTGCCAGTGTGTCACACTCCAGAGCTGTGGACAAAGAAAAACATGTGCCTGTGTATGAGGAGTATTGGTGCAGTTTTCTTTGAAAGTATGACAGATGGCTAAAGAATAAATTGGGAAAGGTGAATCTGTCTTCCTTCTCTCTTGGGAAGCCCAGTGTCTCCTGCCAGGCAATGTGTCTGACCTTGCTACTGCTCTTGCTCCCTTCCTGGCAGCCAGGAGGGTGTGTGGGCGGATGGGCCGCATGGAAGGCAAGTGGTGAGATACGACCTTCCCATCCTCGGTTCCCAACTGCACAGAAGCGAAGGCAAGGTGGGAAAGATGCGGTTAATTAGGTCACAACTTCAGTAACTCGTTAGGGAATGTACTTGGCAGCAAACTGTCGAAGGTGGCCTGTTGTTCCTGTTTCAAAGTTTGTTGCCTGTTTTGGGAGAGATGTCTGGCTGACACCACTGCAGGGATGTCCCCACCCTCTCTTCTTGCCTGAAATTTGAGGAGAGGGTGGCTGTGAATAGAGGAGCTATGTCTGTGCTGTGCTGGAGTCCTTACCTTTCCAGGCATGCCTGTCTGCCACTCTTAAGCCGTTACCTGCCATTGATATAACGAGCCCTAACAGCTTTGACAGATCTGGCTACTCACAACAATGTATTTCTCATGTATCACATAGTATTTTATTTGTGATCATTGGACGAATTCTGTGCTCCAGCCTGACAAATCCTATATGATACGTGAGAAATGGCTATGCTTAATTGAACTAAGAGGCCTTCACTTTTAATGTCTTCTTCTCATGTTCTACGTAACACAACTTGTGAGTCACCCAGCAATATCTTTTCAGGACTAGCCTTTCCAGTCAGAGTAATGCATGCCTCTAATCTTTAGAAAAGCGATTTTTGTTGCCCACGGCTTAAAAGATGTGAACAGAGCATTACAAAATGGCACAGCCAGTCGGAGGCAGACTTCCATATAGTTTAGTAAAATGGGAAACAGTAGCCAGTGCTCATATTAGTTTCATTTATGCAGCATTTCTTACTTGGTTCTTGTCTGCAGAACAGTAACAAAACCTGCTGGTGAGGGGAAGGGATGTGAGGAGGAGGATCACAGAGATATAGTTGGATGTCTCCTGTGACTGGAGTGTTGCAGTGGAGGGATACAGGCTCTTTAGGAAGGACAGACAGGGAAGATGAGAGAGGGAATTTCTGTTTATGTAAAAGAGCAGCTGGAGTGCATGGAGCTCTGCCCAGGGATGGCTGAGGAGCCAGCTGAGAGTTTATGGGTTAGGATTAAAGAGAGGACAGGTCAAGGTAACTTTATAGTGTCTGCTATAGCCACCTGACCAGGAATCACAAGTGGATGAGGCACTCTACAGACAGACAGGAGCAGCCTCATATTAACAGGCCCTGGTCATCATGGGGGACTTCAGCCACCCCAATATCTGCTGATGGGACAACATAGCAGGACATAAACAACCCAGGAGATTCCTGGAGTCGGGTGACAACTACTTATTCCTTCAAGGAATAGAGAAACCAGTGAGGAAAGGTGCTCTGCTACACCTCCTACTCACCAACAAGGAGGAGCTTGTTGGGGATGTGAATGTCAAAGGCAGCCTTGGATGCAGTGAGCATGAGGTGGTGGTGTACAGGAGCCTAAGGGCAGGGAGGAGGCTGAAAAGCAAGCTCACACATGAGGACAGCAGACTTTGGCCTTCTCAAAGATCTGCTTGGAAGATAAGCTGTAAGGGCCTGGAGAGAAAAGAGACCTAAAAAAGCTGCTTAATATTCAAGGATCACTTCCTTCAAGCTCAAGAGAGTTCCATCCCAGTGAACAGAAGTCAGGCAAAAATGCCAAGAGACCTGTATGGACGAACAAAGAGCTCCTAACCAAACTCAAACATAAAAAGGAAGCATACAGAAGGTGGAAGCCAGCATGGGTAAGCTGGGAGGAATACAGAAACATTGTCTGAGCATGCAGAGACAAACTCAGGAAAGCTAAAGCCCAAATGGAATTGAATCTGACCAGGGACATCAAAGACAACAAGAAGGGCTTCTGTGTGTACATAGGTGACAAATGGATGACTAGGGAAAACGTAGGCCCTTTGCTTGATGAGACAGGGGACCTGAGTACACAGAACATGGAAAAGACTGAGGTACTGAATGCCTTCTTTGTCTCAGTCTTTACTAGCAAGACCGGCCTTCGGGAATCCTAGGTCTCAATGACAAGGGAGAAAGTCTGGAGCAAGGAAGATGTACCTTTGGTGGAAGAGGATCAGGTCAGGGAATACTGAAACAAATTGGACATATATAAGTCCATGGGCCCTTATGGGATGCACTCACAAGTGCTGAGGGAGCTGACAGATGTCACTGCAAAGACACTGTGCATAATCTTTGGTTGGTCATGGTGACTGGGAGAAGTCCATGAAGACTGGAGGAAAGTAAATGTCACTCCTCTTTTCAAGAAGGGCAAGAAGGAGAACTCAGGGAACTATGCCTCAGTCCCTGGGAAGGTGATAGAGCAGCTATTCTTAGAGACCATTTCCAGCCACATTAAGGACAAGAAAATCATCATGAGTAGTCAGACTTCACCAAGAGGAAGTCATGCTTGATCAACTTGATGCATTTCTAAAGTGAAGTGACTGGCATGGTAGATGAGTGGAGGGCAGTGGATATTGTCTACCTGGACTTCATTAAGACCTTTGACACTGTGTCCAGTAACATCCTTCTAGAGAAGCTGTTGGTGTATGGGCTGGATAAGAAGACAATGAGGTTTACTGAAGGCTGGCTGAAGGGCCAGGACCAAGGTGGTGATCAGTGGTGTGAAGTCTAATTGGAAGCCAGTAACTAGTGGTGTACTAGTGGTCGAAACTGCGTGTCAGAACTGGCTGCAGTTAGACGAAGTATTGTCAGCAAGTTGAGGAAGGTGATCCTTCTCCTCTACTCAGCACTGGTGAGGCCACACCCGGAGAACTGTGTCCATTTCTGGAGTCCTTAGTACAAGAGAGACATAAACATACTGGAGAGACTCCAGCAAAGGGCCACAAACATGATTAAGGGACTGGAGGATCTCTTCTATGAGGAAAGGCTGAGAGAGATGGAACTGTTCAGCTTGGAAAAGAGAAGGCTCAAGAGAAGGCACCACCCTGAAGGAAGGGTGCAAAGAAGATTGAGCCAGGCTCTTTTCAGTGGGGCCCAGGCACAGGGCCAGAGGCAATGGGCATAAACTGAAACACAGGAGGTTCCCTCTGAGCATCAGGAAACACTTTACTGTGAAGGTGACCAAGCACTGGCACAGGTTGCCTGGGGAGATTGTGGAGTCTCCATCCTTGGAGAGATTCAAAAGCCATCCGGACATGGTAC